ATGACTGTGCCAGACCATTTGGTTGGACTTTTCACCGGCTCGTCAGAAAATACAGAAGCTAAACTTTCTTCCCTCTGTGTCTGTGTCTGTATGCGTGGGTAGGGAGCAAAGTTCTGGCGGTACTCAACTTGTCGGCGAATTTCAGCTTTTCCAAGGCAGTGCCATCAGATATCAAAGCTCAGAGAAGCAATGAGATAGGCATGGAGAAGGCCAATAATCACGATGGATGTGATGGAACCGTCTGTGACGAGAATGACATTGTCCCCGACAGTGACGATGATGTGGAAACACCAGCAGCATGTTTCAGCTCCGCTGGCATTGGAAGAGCGCGTCCATCTGTGGCGGAAGCTGCAACTCTGAATGACACCAATGATGGTACCTCATTGCCATTAAGCGGCAAAGAGAAGACGGTGAACGACGATGCTGATCAAAAACAGAAAATGAAGGCGGTACCAGCAACAAGTCAAAACATAGGTCAGGCGTCTAGCAGCCTTCGGAAAAACGACACTACTAATTGTGGCGCAGAGGAAGAAGGGCATGTGGGTATACCAGAAACAGGTATGCATAGGACGGGAGACGAGCTGTCAGTGATGTCGGTGCCCGATGCCAACCGGACCATGGCGGACGATAGATCACATGCAAAAGAGCTGAACGCGATGGGTGAGAATGTTGCTGAGCAAGCAGACGGTGGTGCTGCTATTTTGAATGAAGACATGCCGCCAGTGGCTGCTAACGGTCCTCACAATGGTATGGATGTTCCTACGAGTGGTAAGAGGTCTGCTTGTCCACCTCCTGCTGCTGCTGCGAACTCCAGCCTTGGTCGCAAGAGTGGTCACAGTTCTGGCAGCGATTGCATTGGTGATGGTAAAGGGACGTTCTTGGACGTTATTATAGAACTTATTGTGGCAGCTAGCTCGCTCCAGAAGCTGAATCTCAGTGGCAATAGTCTGCCGGTGGAAGCTTTTGAAAAGATCCGTGTTGCATGGGCCCGAGGTCGGCGTGAGTGGCGAAATGCAAGGCACACGGAGTGTTCTGCAGATCAAGCGGCCTCTAGTAAGGAGAATGCTGATGGGGTCAACACGGATTTGTGTGTTCTTGAATGAATGGGACTCTCTCTCTCTCTCTCTCTCTCTCTCTCTCTCTCTCTCTCTCTCTCTCTCTCTCTCTCTCTCTCTC